GTCACAGATTGTCACATGGTACAAGGCTGTTTTGAATGGCCCTGTACCATGTGACCTCTGTGATCATTCACAGATTTCACACATAGTAAGCAATGATGTCACAAGTGACATCTTGCTTACTACTCTTCATGTGATCACTGATTGGCTAATCAGTGATCACATGATCGGGACCTCCCACAGAGGTCCCGTACAATGATCAGTGTTCCACTGTGTTCTGAGAACACCGGATGGTGGTGTTGCATGCTCCCAGGGAGCATGCACAAGCAGGGAGCGGGGAGGCCATTTATAAACAGCCATCTGCTCCTGCACTGCTCCCGTCCAGCCGTTTATATACATGGGCCGGACGGGAAGTGGTTAAAGTACAACTAAAGGCAACACTTTTTCTTTTAGTTTTGGATAGGGTGGAGATGGATTAGAACACCTGTCCATTATTATTGCTGTCTGTGTCCCCGTTAGGGAGATTCTATTTGTCTCGTATATCATTATCATTGAAAGTGAATGTAAAAGAAAAACCCAAACTTTGGGTTGTCCCCAGAAAAGTAATAGATTGAAAAATTTCCAAAGTGGACACTAATTTTGGTGGCTTGGGGGTCCCAATGGATTTCCCTTAATTTGCAGGGATTTCCTCTTACTTCCAGATTTGGCTATGGGACAGGAAGTGAAGGGAAATCTCCCCAATGGGACACAGATGGCAAAAAACCAACTGGCCGTGCTTATGGCCCTTCCTTATGCTATCCAAAATGAAGAACAAAGTTTTGCCTATAGTTCCTCTTTAATGCCGCTGGCTAAGATCAAGTGTAGTATCTGTTCCTATCAGTGTCCAGTAGGGGTGCTCCACGGTCATTCTAACCTTGTGGGGATGACTGTTTGTATAAAACCCCTGCTGGTATGATGGGGATCCTGATGGCTATAACGGGGGGAATAGAAACCGTGGTGCCCACGAGTAGAAGCTGGGGCCCGGAAGTAATTCCCCTTTGGAACGTCAGAGGGACCCAGTACCTCCTGATTTGGATGGATCTACCTTGTCTGGCCAGGGGTCGGGAAGGCAGAAAGTCCGCAAACCAGTGCCCCCTGAGTAGTCGCCTCAAGGGTGCCACTAGTAGCACCTGGGTGTGGGACCCCACTGTGTGAAAATGGCACATGGTCTCTGCGTTTCCACTTTTCCTGTACAGCGCCCTTAGGACCAGGCCTTTTGGCTAGGACCAGGGCAATTTTTGCTACAGGCCTCAGGGCCTGGTCTGTGCACTATTTGGCACGACCACTTTTTTATTTTTTATTTATTTAATTTATTGCACCTCCCACGTTTTGTCACTTTTTCTTTACTTATGTGTGTGTTTTCCTCACAGGATGAAGGGTGTGGGTCCTCGGGCCTGCCCTGAAGTCTAGGGGGAGGATGTGTGGCCTTTTGGTTCCTTCCTCCTCTGTCCCTAGGGGGTTTTCTCTTCGGGAGAGCCCCCTGACTCAAAGAACGGTGGTCCACCAGTCCTTTTGGCCAGGAGGACCAAATGGGAACCTTGTCCCTGTCAGGTGCTTCGTGCCCCGGGGGATCAGGGTAGTGGTCCATCCCCTTCGGGGGAAGGACAAAGCACACCCCCAAGTGCACTTTTTCGTGTGGTGTTTTGCACTTGCACATTTTTTGTGAACACTTATGGGTTTTTTCGTTATCTGCACGTTAGCGAAGAAAAAAAAAAAAAAATCCTCTTTAATGCCACTACTCTACCGACCTTTGAAAAGCGACCCACCGAGGAGGCCTCTCTGTTTGCCATGGAGATCGCTTTCACTTAGACAGAAAGTGAGGAAAAATCCAAAACGTTACAGTTGCCATTGGAGAAATAATAAAATGGAAATTAGGGGCACCAGTCTAAAGGAGGTTTATCTCAGCTTGGAGGGATTTCTATATATTTCCTATTAAATCTCCAAAACAGGAAATAATGGGAAATCTCTCCCAGAAAGAAAAAGGAAGAGCTGACTTGGGTTTTAACCCTTCCATACTCGGTCCCAAAAAAACCCATTGTGGCTGCAGATACACTTTTAATACTTTTAACCACTTCCCGACCGGCTGTTGCATATAAACGGCCGGATGGTGGCAGTGCAGGGTCGGGTGGCTGTTTATAAACGGCCTCCCCGCACCCTGCTTGTGCGCACTCCCTGGGAGCGCGCAGCACCGCAATTTGGTGCCCGCTGTGTCCTCCGGACACAGTGAAACACCGATCGTCGGATGGGACCTCTGTACGAGGTCCCGATCATGTGATCACTGATTGGCCAATCAGTGATCACATGCAAAGCAGTAAGCAAGATGTCACTTGTGACATCATTGCTTACTACGTGTGAAATCTGTGAATGATCACAGAGGTCACATGGTACAAGGCTATTTACAACAGCCTTGTACCATGTGACAAGCTGTGACCAATCACAGCTCACTCAGTACTTCTCAATGAGTGCAAGAATGCAGACAGAGAGAAAGAGAATGATTGCTTTATGGGTGTAAAAGCAATGTGTAAAAAAAAAAAAAAAAAAAATCTTCATCACCCCCCCACAAGTAGTACAGTGTCACCATGGTGACACCGTACTGCTAGGGTGACAGTATGTAGAAAAAAAAAAAAAAAAATATAAAAAAATATAAAAATGTAAAATGTTTAAAAATATAATAATTTTCGGTTATAAACTAATTTTTTTTTTTTTTTTTACTAAAAAGATAACGGAATACATTTTAGCCAAGATTTATGATGAAATATTATTTATTTGCAAAATTTTATAAAAAAAACACTTTTTTAAAAATTTTTGGACGTTTCATTTACATAGCAAAAAAAATAAAAATCCCAGCGGTGAATAAACACCACCAAAATAATTTTTTTATCTGTCTAAAAAAAATGGTAAAAAATTCATTTGGGTACAGTGTTGCATGACCGCGCGCAATTGTCATTCAAAGTGTGATAGCGCCGAAAGCTGAAAATTGCCCTGGTCAGGAAAGGGGTGAAAGTGTCCGGACTGGAAGTGGTTAATACTGACCCAGTTCCTGTAAACACTGACAGCATGGAACACAGACTGCGGAAACCAGACATGTTATTTCATGATTCATTACTGAGCATTCAGCTGAAATTGTAATCATCATCAGCCAGCAATTCATTCTTGGGGGTGGATCTGACATGACCCGTGCCATGTTTGGCCGCCATAACAATCTGTGATGACTGGGCGCTTGGTATAATAACAGGGGGGGGGGGGGGGCGTGGGAGCCAGCGCCGGGGCGCCACAAGCCAGTAAAAGCAGACACCCCTTCCTTGGACATGCACATTGGAAGGAAACCTGACCTGGTGGACACAGATGGAAGAGACAGATGGATGGGTGAGAGGTCTGAGGACACACAAAGAAGGAGACACTGGGTACCTGGCATAATTTCCACTTCAAAACTGGGCAAAGAGATCAGCCAGCACCCCAGTCTTGCCTGGAAGAGAGAGAAGAGAGAGAGAGAAGAAGGAGAAGGTTAGCAGCAAGAAATCACATCGAGGAGACAGATCATCGCAGCGATTATCAAGAGGCGCTGGACAGAGGGAAGATGTATGTTATTAAAGCTGAATACTAGGCAGATAATAAAGACACACAATAAATGCAGCGCTGTTTATTAATACATTATTAAAGTGTTACTAAACCCACAACAGTACAATCAGTCTGTTTTTTTTGCAGTAAAGCATGCTTGTTATACTCACTGTGGAACCTAAGGGGTTAATCCTCAGCACTGTGTAAAAAAGGCTGTTTGATCCTGTCTTCTCTGATCCTCCCCTTTTTCTACTGTCCCCAATGCAACTGCTGATAGAACAGAGCCTTGAGGATATGCTGCGCATGCTCAGTTTGGTGTATATTGTTAGAGAGTTTATTTATTTTTTTTGGTATGGTGCATGTGATCAGCACAGGGCCAATCAGGGCTGTCCAGACAGAGGGCCAGGGGTTATGCAGTCTCATAGGACAATCAGGAGAGAATGAAAACTCCTCCTAAAAGATTAACCATTGCTCTACTGGGCACTGATTGAAGTCACAAGACAGCTATATAATACTGATAAGAAAAGGTATTTAGCAGTTTATATTTACTAAAATAATTGTATTTCCATGTTTTGTGTACTGTGGGAGACCAGATATAGTGAATGCAGGGTCCGGGGAGACTGGATATAGTGAATGCAGGGTGCGGGGAGACCAGATATAGTAAATGCAGGGTCCGGGGAGACCAGATATAGTGAATGCAGGGTCCAGGGAGACCAGATCTAGTGAATTTCATTTCCGGGGAGACTGGATATAGTGAATGCAGGGTGCGGGGAGACCAGATATAGTGAATGCAGGGTCCGGGGAGACCAGATATAGTGAATGCAGGGTCCAGGGAGACCAGATCTAGTGAATTCAGGGTCCTGGGAGACCGGATATAGTGAATGCAGGGTCCTGGGAGACCAAATATAGTGAATGCAAGGTCTGGGGGGAGACCACATATAGTGAATGCAGGGTCCGGGGAGACCAATATAGTGAATGCTGGGTCCTGGGAGACCAGATATAGTGAATGCAGGGTCCGGGGAGACCAGATATAGTGAATGCAGGGTCCGGGGAGACCAGATATAGTGAATGCAGGGTCCGGGGAGACCAGATATAGTGAATGCAGGGTCCGGGGAGACCAGATATAGTGAATGCAGGGTCCGGGAGGAGACCGGATATAGTGAATGCAGGGTCCGGGGAGACCGGATATAGTGAATGCAGAGTCCGGGGAGACCGGATATAGTGAATGCAGGGTCCGGGGAGACCAGATATAGAGAATGCAGAGTTTTTTGAGACCGGATATAGTGAATGCAGGGTCCGGGGAGACCGGATATAGTGAATGCAGGGTCCGGGGAGACCGGATATAGTGAATGCAGGGTCCGGGGAGACCGGATATAGTGAATGCAGGGTCCGGGGAGATTTTTGACAATAGTGAATGCAGGGTCCCTCAGACCGGATATAGTGAATGCAGAAGTCCGGTGAGAACCGGATATAGTGAATGCAGTGGTCCGGGGAGACCGGACATAGTTATTTTGCAGGGAGGGAGACCGGATTATAGTGAATGCAGGGTCCTGGGGAGACCGGATATAGTGAATGCAGGGTCCGGGGAGACCGGATATAGTGAATGCAGGGTCCGGGGAGACCAGATATAGTGAATGCAGAGTCCGGTGAGACCGGATATAGTGAATGCAGGGTCCGGGGAGACCGGATTATAGTGAATGCAGGGTCCGGGGAGACCGGATATTGAATGCTCCGGGGAGACGGATATTAAAGTGAATGCAGGGTCCATTTGGCCACCTTTATTAGTGAATGCACCTGTTCAACAGGGTAGACCAAATTGTTAATGCAGGGTCCATTTTTTTTTTTAGTGAATATTTTCCGGGGAGACCAGATTAGTGAATTCAAAGGAGTCCGGTGAGACCGGATTTATAGACTTTGAATGCAGGGTCCTTTTTTTTTAAACACTTTAAACATATTTGAAATTTGCAAGCACATTGTAAATAGCTTTAAACAATCCTTGTACAGTAGAAAGCTCAGACTGAAAGAAGAAGAAGCAAAGCAAGAACCAATCAGCTGATGCAGAGGAGTGCTCTGGTTACTAACAAGGAACATGCTTATAGAAGGAGAGAGCAGAAAGATAATCTTCACCAGTCTGATTTTTTCTCCTTTTACAGTCCAGTCATATGGAGGAACAAGACCTTTAATTTGTTATCTAACTGCAGTACAGAAAAAAATCAGTCGGGACAAGGTTGTGCCATGGTGGCAGAGCTGTTTAAATCTCAAGTCTGGATGGGAAGAAATTTTAATTCTCTTGGCAGACAGAACAACATTAACTATATACACTCATTGGCCACTTTATTAGGTCAACCTGTTCAACAGCTTGGTAACACAAATTGCTAATCAGCCAATCACATGGCAGCAACTCAATGCATTTAGGCATGCAGACTGGTGAAGACGACTTGCTGAAGTTCAAACTAAGCATCAGAATGGGGAAGAAAGGGGATTTAAGTGACTTTGAATATGCCATGGTGGTTTTTAAAAAATTGCTGATCTTTTGTGATTTTCACGCACATCCATAGCTAGGGGTTTACAGAGAATGGTCCGAAAAAGAGAAAGTATCCAGTGAGCGGCAGCAGTTGTGTGGAGGAAAATGTCTTGTTGATGTCAGAGGAGAATGGGCAGACTGGTTGCTGCGACATTCAGATGGTAGGGTCAGAATTGGACGTAAACACCATGAATGGTTTTGGTGGTTGTTTTTTTGTTGTTTTTTTTTTGGTTGGTTGTTTGTTTTGGTGTGGTGGTGTTTTGGTGTGTGGTGGTTGTTGGTGTGGTGGTGTTTGGTGTTTGGGTGGTTTTGTTGGGGGGTTTTTTGGTGTTTTTTTTTTTGGTGTTTTTTGGTTTTTTGGGGTGGTGTATTTGGTTTTGTTTTTTTTGTTTTTTTTGGGGGTTTTGGGTTGGTTGTTTTGGGGGGGTTTTTTTTTTTTTTTGGTGGTTTTTTTTGGTGTTTGGTGGTTTGGTTTTGGGGTTTGTGGTGGTTGGGGGTTTTGGTGGTTTTGGTTTGGTTTGTGTGTTTTTTGGTTGTTTTTTTTGGTTTTTTGTGGGGGGGGTTTTGGGGGGGGTGGTTTTTTTTTTTGGTTTTGGTTTTTTTTTTTTTTTTTGTTTTTGTTGTGTTTGGTGGTGTTTGGGGGTTTTTTTTTTTTGTTTGGGGGTTTTGGGGGTTTTTTTTTTTTTTTTTTTTGTGGTTTTGTTTTTGTTTTGTGGTTGTTTTTGTTTTGGGGTGTTTGTTTTTTTTTTTTTTTTGGTTTTGGTTTTTTTTTTTGTTTTTTGGGGGTTTTTTTTTTTTTTTTTGTTTGGTTTGGGGTGGTTTTGTTTTTTGGTTTTTTTTGGGGTTTTGGGGTTTTGGGGTTTGTTTGGGTTTTATGGGGGTGGGGGTGTGGTTTTGGGGTTTTTTTTGGGGTTTTTTTTTGGTGTTTTTTTTGTGTTTTTTTTTTGGGGTTTTTGGTTTTTGGGTGTTTTGGGTTTTTGTGTTTTTTTTGTTTTTTTGGGTTTGGTTTTTTTTGGGGGTTTTTTTTTGTTGGGTGTTTTTTGTTGTTTTTTTGTTTTTTTTGGTTGTTTTTTTGGGGGTTTTGTTTTTGGTGTGTGGTGGTTTTTTTTTTGGTGTTGGTGGGTGTTTTTTTTTTTTTTGTGTGTTTTTTTGGTTTTTTGGGTTTTGTTTTTTTTTTGGGGTTGTGTTTTTTTTTTTGGGTTTTTTTTTTTTTTTTTTGGTTTTTTGGTGGGTGGTTTTTTTTTTTTGGTTTGGTTGGTTTTGTGGTGGGGTTTTGGGTGTGTTGGTTTGTTTTGTGTGTGGTGTTAGCAGTTTATGATCTCCAGTGATTTTATGAGTGCGGTGCAGCACATACATCATTATTTCTGGTTTCTAGTACTAAGATCAGATGTCTCCTTTGTTCTCAGTTCTTGCCTGGACAGCAGGAATGCAGCCATGCTGTTTGGCGGAGAGTGCCGGTGGTGGGGCCAGGGGAAAGGCGCCCAGTTTATGTGTTGCCTGGGAGAGCACAACAACTAAATACACCACTGCCTTCAGGGGTGTCACTGCTGCAGAGGCTCCCATCTTCATCCAGTCTTCTTTCTGGGTTCGCAGGCTGCAGCCGCTTGATTGGCTTTTTGCAGCCGCGGGTGACGTCACTCCTGCACATGCGCGCGGGCGTTTTGGCCTCGGCATGCAGCTCTCGTGGAATGGCACGGATATGACTTTCCTTGTGCATGTGCTGGTGATGTCATCGGCTGCAGCTTGCTAGAATATCTCCAACAGTGCACGTTTAGGAGATATTCATTTTACCTACAGGAACAAGGTCCAAGCGCATAGGCTCAAATCTGGGGGCCACTTGTCCACTGCTGCTAGTGTCACACCAAAGGAAGTGATAAATGAATACCCAAGAGACAGCGCTATGGAGACTGTGGCTTTAAAATCAATGTGAACCTCATGTAGGGGTATATCTTTATTGTACAAATTCTTAAAATTGTGTCCACACCAGGGGCGGACTGACCATTAGAGCACTCGGGCACTGCCTGGGGGCCCCATGAAATGCCCCTGGTACCTTTTTTTATAGGCTTTTTTGGGTGTGCTTTGAGTGTGGTCAAGGACATAGGGGCCCCATGATCCCCTATTGCCCAGGGGCCCCATGAGTTGTCAGTCCTCCCCTGGTCCCACACCATATCCAAAGCAATGGTAAAACAAAGCTGTAGGTGAGCGGGCGTTCCACCTTACAGCCTTGGTTTACCATTGCTTTGGATATGGTGTGGACCAGGGGAGGACTGACAACTCATGGGGCCCCCGGGCAATAGGGATCATGGGGCCCCTATGTCCTTGACCACACTCAAAGCACACCCAAAAAAGCCTATAAAAAAGGTACCAGGGGCATTTCATGGGGCCCCCTACTGACCCTGGGCCCTCGGGCATTGCCCGAGTGCTCTAATAGTCAGTCCACCCCTGGTATGGACACAATTTTAAGAATTTGTACAATAAAGACATATCTCTACATGAGGTTCACATTGATTTTAAAGCCACAGTCTCCATAGCGCTGTCTCTTGGGCATTCATTTTACCTACAGCAGGGGTCTCCAAACTTTTTAAACAAAGGGCCAGTTTACTGTCCTTCAGACTTTAGGGGGGCTGGTCTGTGACCACTGGGAGCAAAAATTGTCCTGGTATCAGTGAGAGTAAACAATGCATCTTTGGTATTAGGGAGGGGATAGTGCCTCATTGCTGGTGTCAGTGGGAGTAATAGTACCCTATTGTTGGTGTCGGTTTGAATGTCTCATCATTCGTGTCAGTAGGAGGAATAGTGCCCTGTTGTTGGTGTCAGTGGGAGAAATGGGGCCCCATTGTTGGTGTCAATGGGCACCATTGCTGACATCAATAGCAGGAATCATGCCCCATTGTTGGTGTTACTGGTAGGAAAAGTGCCTCATAGGCCGGATAAAGCCAAGCAAAGGGCCACATCTGGCCCCCAAGCCGCAGTTTTGGAGACCACTGACCTACAGGTAAGCTTTAATATAAGCTTACCTGTAGGTAAAAATAATAAATGAGAGTTTACTACCATATTAAAGCTTGGCTAAAAGGCAGTGTATAGTGTGTTTTATGTAGAGCATAGTTGCTACTGCCGCATTTACAGTAAAAAAAAAAACATTGATGGCACTTTAACAATTGTCTTTCATAAGACTACATGTACATTAAGCTCCCTTAGACTCCAAGCTCTCCTGGCTGCTGAAAAAAGACAAAACACGGTACCGTGTGTAGCACTTGGGTGTTTATTCATTTTATTGGCCTATGTCAGGGCTTAAAATTTTCAAGTCCTGAGCTACTAGCGAGGCCTTAGAGTTACTTGCCACCAGGGTGGATAAAAATCAATGATTTTAAAAAAAAAATTTTTTAAAAAAAATCAGATTTTTTTATTTAAATCGGATTTTTTTTTATTTAAATTGGATTTTTTTTTAATAAAATGCTTTTTGAGGAAAATATATTACCATCCAAAGGTTATTCCGTCATGAAATAAAGATTTGTTTTTTAATTATGTAGAATAAGGCTGTATATGTTTAATTTTTTTGGTAAATAAATTCCATGAATCCATTCACAATGTCATGCTCTTCCAGAGGTTTTAGTAAGATTATTGGGCAGTTTCTCTGCCTACAAGATATTATCACAGATGTTCGGGTTACTTTTGCAGTTCTCAAAACTGAATTTGACTCAGCGGAGATCACATGCCTCTTCTTCACAGCAAAAATGTTATAACATGAACAGAGTTAAGAAAAAGACCTTCATCCTAACTTCTACAAACCTATGAATACAGAATCAACCCCTTCAGTGCGAAGGTTCAAGAAGTTCAGTGAAGAGAATAGAAACAATATTTTTCTGATTGTTTGGAGTGGAATAGATCTGCACAAGAAGAAAGTGAAACTAAGTGTGAGGAGGAAGGGGCTGACAGTCTAAGTTTCTAAAAAATATATATATTTTGTTTAGCCAAATTAGTTACCAAACATGGATGTTTAAGCAAATCACATATGCTGGAATGTTATTGTTTCAGTTGAATAAATCTATTTAAATTGTTATTATTAAGGGAATGATTACACTGTTCAACAAATTTTTATTTTTTGCCAGTTTTTGGAAAACAAAAGGATCCATTTCTTAATGAATTTCACATTCTGAGTTCAAATATAACAATGAAATTTGTCAATTGGCTCTAGGTTTTCTGTAAACGGAGTTTTCTACTATAGGCGTAATGACTACATAATGCACAATAATTATATAGATGCAAATAGATAGATATGTCTTTCCACAAATATAAAGCAAGTGATATTGACTACATAACAAAGCCTAAATGGCATAATATATTGCATAGGATTATCAAGAAAAATTATAACCATAAGCCAAGTTGAAATCATTTTAATACTTAG